CACCGACTCTACCTCCACCGAGGCTCTGGGCTGCGACGCTTACCCTGCCGGCACCCCCGACCTGAGCGACAAGATCGTCCTCATCAAGCGCGGAACCTGCACCTTCGTCGCCAAGGCCCAGAACGCTGCCGCCGCCGGTGCCAAGTACATCATGTTGTACAACAACGCCCCCGGCGCTGGTTCCGTCTCCGTGACCGCCGTCCCTGAGATCCTTGCCATCGGCATGACCCCCCCTGAGAACGCCGCCCCTTGGCTCGAGGCTCTCGCCGCCGGCCAGGAGGTCGTCCTCAACATGGGCGACCCTGCTGAGGCCGAGCAGGTCCTCACCGAGGCTGCCAACAACGCCACCGGCGGCTCTGTCTCTACCTTCAGCTCCTGGGGCCCCAACTGGGACGCCTACTCCAAGCCGCAGTTCGGTGCAGTCGGAGGCAACGTCCTCAGCACTTACCCCAGAGCCCTCGGCAGCTACGCCGTCCTCTCCGGTACCTCCATGTCTTGCCCCCAGACCGCCGGCATCGTCGCCCTCATCGCCGAGGTCCGCAAGACCCTCGACCCCGCCACCATCGAGAACGTCCTCTCCGCCAACGCCAACCCCGTCAAGTTCAACGACGGCACCGGCTTCGGCGAGCTCCTCGCCCCCATCGCCCAGCAGGGTGCCGGCCTCGTCCAGGCCTACGACGCCGCTCACGCCTCCGCCATCCTCAGCGTCTCCAACCTCTCCTTCAACGACACGGACAACTTCATCCCCGAGCTGAACTTCACCATCAAGAACACCGGCTCCGCCGACGTCACCTACGAGCTGAGCAACATCGGCGCCGCCACCGCCTACACCTTCGCCGCCGCCGGCGACCTCTTCCCCGCCACCTTCCCCAATGACCTCTCCGCTGAGTACGCCACCCTCGCCTTCAGCGAGGACAAGGTCTCCGTCCCCGCCGGCGGCGAGGCCACCGTCCTCGTCACCCCGACGCCCCCCGCCGGCCTCGTCGCCGAGCGCCTCCCCGTCTGGTCCGGCTACATCGCCCTCAACGGCACCGACGGCACCAGCCTCATCCTCCCCTACCAGGGCATCGCCGGCAGCCTCCACAGCCACGTCACCCTCGACGTCGCCATCATGACCACCTCCACCAGCGCCAAGGCCGAGGAGTTCGAGGAGGTCCCCTCCAACTACACCTACATCCTCCCGCCCCCGGGCACCGCCAACGAGACCGACGCCGTGCTGCCCGCCCTCGCCGTCAACATGGCCTTCGGCTCCCCCTTCGTCCGCGCCGACCTCGTGCCGCTCACCAGCTGCCCGCCCAACATCACCAAGGAGGTCTTCGGCACCAAGACCATCGGCCAGCCGCGCTCCTTCCCCTACCTGTACGTCTCGCGCGGCGTCTTCTCCGTCAACTGGGACGGCCAGCTCGATGATGGTACCTATGCCCCCGCGGGCAAGTACAAGTTCGCCGTCAAGTCGCTTCGCGTCTTTGGCGATGCGTCGAGGTTGGAGGAGTACGATGTCACTGAGACGCAGCCGTTCCGCATTCAATACGGCGGTGTTAACCAGACTGCGCCTGCGAGACGTTGGTTCTAGATAATGTGATAATAGTCATGTCTCTACGACATTTTCCCTTTTTTTGTGAATAGCTTTTGAATCAGAAAGAATTAAAGAATTGTCTGGTATCTCTCATGATTCCGTGTCCTCAGCCTGAACGTCTGTAGCGGTGTGAAAGACCTTAAAAATCATTCGTCCGTTAGGTTAATGCATCAGCTGTTAACATATCTTACACAAGACCCTCCCCCGTCGATGGCTCTTGATGTCTGTCTCCTCTTGTTCGTCTTCTTTCCTAACGAAATGTTCGCAGTGGTTGCTACATGCACTCTTGTCGTTACCATACGTAGACCGCATGTGTGTAACGTATTTTCAAGTTGCTTAGATTTGTGCGAGGTGGGCGATTGGTCTTCGTGTTGCTAGCAAAGTCCGATTTCCATCTGTACATTCTTCACTGATGAATCACTTCGCTGCGATGCAGGGATAGCTTGTTGTAACTTTGCCTTCTTTTCAAGCTGTTACAATAACCCCGCCCGTATACGGCATTGCGGTCCGTTTTCGCTTCATGCTCGGTTGGGCCTCTTGCTCAGCTTCGGAACCCTTCTCGATGTCAGCCATGAAGAATGCGAAGATGTGATGGAAGGGGGGCAAGTTTGAGAAAACGAAAGTTTACAAGCTCCTTGGGATATAGTAGTCTTCTGGGGGTGTCTTTGAGAATTACTATCCCTGTCATATATCGAGAAGCCGGCATCATATACTTGGTATGGCATCGGACTTACAATCCAGGGAGACTTAGTCTAGTCGGATGCAGACGCCGACGTGGCGGGAACGGAGCTCCAGTCTCACTGCCCAAACGGAGTGCAGCCGCCACTGGCCGGGACTTATTCGAGTCGAAACCACTTCCTGTTATGGTCTGGGTCCGGTCCCCAAGCTCGGCATCGGGCACCCTTCATGGGGCACATGCCGACTACTGGCTCCGGCTCATGCGTCCCATCTTCTGCCGGCTCGGTTTCGGCTGTCGGACGAGTCGGCAGCACCACCTTGGTAAAAGTCCCGTGAAAGAAAGTTTGCAGACGCCCAATTAGGGAGCGCATGATTACTCGATGGGGAAATTTGACGTGATATTGCGTGTTTGCGAAGACCAGATGATGGAAGGCAACTCAGATATGAATCTGGAACGATGGCCTGGAATTTTCGGTACACCGAATCCAACAGTCCGGGTCCTGACAGTTTGTCAGCCGAGGTTTCAATTGTCACCTCAGGGCCTCCACCGGTTCGTCCACTTCATCGGTATGACCATGGACTCTACGTGGCGTTATCCTGCTTTCTCTTTGGTTCTATGGCCTGGACCTGTATTAATTTTGTGATGCATGACGGTACGTCGGTACTAAATCGATGGTCGACGGGAATTGCGTTCGTGGAAGGTTCAGAATCCGGCTGTAAAGCCCAGGCGTACGTCAATGTTTATTGCAATAGACGCCAAATTGTCTGCATGACATGGAATCATGTCGTGACTAACTACACTGTCGGGAGACTGGGCCTCAGATGCATCGCAATTTTCACGAATTGGGAGACATCTCAGCCCCGGGGGGAACAGGTATCAACCTGCTCGTGGGCGTTTAGATGCCAAACCAATTCCGTACAGCCATATGTAGATCTTGAATCCTTCAGCCAACAGCCATCCCTTTAATCGTCTAGACGGAACGCCAACGTTCCTTTTTTGTGAAATTGACCAATCTCGAGCATGAAAACGACCCCGCCAAGGCTGCATTCGAGTCCGACCCGGCAAATGGGCTTCACCGCGATAGTTGTGAATGACCTTGAGCCACACATTTCGAATGGTCTGCGCTAAAATCCTACATGAGCTCTAATAGAACCCGAGCTCTCAAAGGTAGGATCATCAGTAGTGGCGTAGTACGTGCTACGTCAGCTTCGTGTTGCGCCACGATATGCACTCGACCATGTTAAAGTTAAACCTTCCCCGCCCTCGATCGCGTGTTCACGAACCACCATCTCAATAACCTCTCGAAGAACCGCTAGGGCCCACACGACTCTATCCAAACACCATGGAGCGCAAAGAAATTATCGAAAAGCTGGCCTCGGCAAAGTCCTCTCAGCGCAGGCCGATTATGACGATGGCCAACGGCGACAACACCTGGCTCATATCAATTCCTCGACCAGCCGGCGGAAAAGGCAAAGCATTCTACCACATCTTGCAGGACCCTTGGCTCGTCGGAGATGTCTTGAACATCTATGCGTGGATCCTCCGCTTGCGCCACCCCCACAAGGAAGCCTTCGACAGCTTGGCCGGGATTGAAAGCTGGGTCGAGGAGATTGAGACCTCGGCAGGTGGCTCGAAAGACGAGGGCGAACCGTGGCTGGACGCGGTTCTCGTCACTCACATACTCGCCGACCATATGCATGAAGAGACGTTGCGGACTTTCGATGCTAGCACCAGGGTCTTTGCTGTCAAGGAGCCGGCAGCGGTTATATCGTCGTGGAAGCACTTCGATAACGTTGTCGTCATACCAGACTTTGTGCGAAGCACAGGCACGACGTGGCCCAGCATTCCCGAAATACCAAGCTGGCTCTCCGTTTTTCGCATCCCAGACGAGGGCGCTGTGTATCCGGTTTTGTACCATTGCATGGTCATCAGCTTCACTGGCGCCGATGGAAAGAGCGAGGTGATTCTGTATTCTCCGCACGGGGTCGACCCGGATGCTGTCGAAGCCGCACAAAAAGCGAATCCGGAGGCGAGTGCGTTGGCGATGATACACCCGCTTCACAAGACTGGTCTCACGGAGAAAGGCACAACTCTCGGGGTCACAAACGGGTTGAAGATTGTAAGAAGGAGCGAGCCGAAGTACTGGTTGGGAACTCATGACGACAAGATCCAGTATTCCGGGCTTCTGAGTTGGGTGTTTAACCACGGCCGCTTGACGTTGGACGATGGTCTTGAGGAGGAAGCTAGGGAGACTGGGCAGAAGTTGCCGAAGCCAAACCTCGTAGAGGTTGGAAATGGCTCTAGTTATATTCTCGTATAAACGCTGCCAGCCATTTAGTTATTGGAGTTGAGAATGCAAATCATATGGTCATGACACATATGTCCAAGGAGTTCATAACGGGAAAAAAGACTTTCGCTATCGAGGCGAATGCGATTGAATAAATACGACCATGAAAGCCACATAACAATGATTAGCCATGGTAATAGAGATTGCAATAACAAGGTTGATAAAAAGAAAACAATTTGATAAGAACTCATTAGCAGTTGACGATAATTATAGACCTGATAGCTATGAGCTAGGCAGCATGAATTCACAGTGATCGGAGACAATATGTGCTAATTTCTAATGAGGCATACGCCTTTATTGATTATAAATCCCGTATCTTTAGTCTAAGATGTACAGGTGATCCAATCTACTAATACCCGCCCCAGTAATCCGTAACTCCGATTGTATTAGGTAGCAGTTTACATGCAGGCGGCACCGTCGATGCCGAGGACCTTGCCGTTGATCCACTCACCGTCCTGGGAAGCCAGGAAGCAGACGACACGGGCAATGTCGATGGGAAGACCGACACGGTGCATGGGGGACCAGCCAGCGGCGTACTCATCGACACCCTCGTCGTCGAGCTCAGTGCCGTTGGGAATGTACTCGCGGCAGACGTCACTGAGATGATGTTAGAGCTGGAGAGTCTGTTATGGGTTGTCGGGAATGCTTACCGGTACATGTCAGTCTTGATGCCACCGGGGGCAACAGCGTTGACAGTGATCTTCTTGTCACCGAAGTCGATGGCCATGCAGCGGACGAAGGTCTCGATGGTACCCTTGGATCCGGAGTAGACGGCGTGCTTGGGGACACCCTTGGCCTGGCCGGTGATGGAGCCCATCAGGATGAGGCGGCCACCGACCTCGAGGTTCTTGTAGGCCTCGCGGGCGACGAAGAACTGGCCACGGGTGTTGATGCTGAAGACGCGGTCGAACTCCTCGGGGGTGACGTCCTTGACGTGGCCGAAGGAGACGACACCGGAGTTGGAGCAGACGACGTCGAGCTTGCCGAAGATCTTCTTGGCCTCGGCGAACATCTTGACGATCTGGTCGACGTCGGAGACGTTGGCCTTGATGGAAGCGGCGTCGGAACCGGACTTCTTGATGGCCTGGACGACCTCCTCGGCGGTCTCGGCGCTGTTGGCGTAGTTGACGATGACCTTGGCACCACGACGGCCAAGCTCCATAGCCATCTCGCGACCAATGCCACGGCCTGTGGCAGCCAGTGTTAGTTGCATGAACCTTACCACGAGATCGGACGAACTAGACCCCGAGATGCATCACGAAAGCCATGACTAAACTCTGCCGGCAATCGAGGTATGCACCGTCCAGGGGATAGAAGAAGTATCAGATGGACTTACCGGCACCGGTGACGAGAGCGACCTTGCCCTCAAGGGACGCAGACGCCAGACCCAGAGGGCCGGGAATGCGGTCGTACTTGGAACCCTTAGACTCGGAGGTAAGGCCAGGCATTTTGACTGATTGGAAGAGGTTGGATTAAATCGGGGAAATGGTGTTGTTATTGAAGAAAAGGTATCGTCGAGATAGACCGAGGAGAAGTCGATTGGTTGTTGAGTGAGAGTGTGATTGAGTTCTGCTGAGCTGTTTCGAGAACCGGATTGGGAGACGGAAACCTGGGTATTAAATACGACATGTTGACATGTTTGATCGTGTGCGTGTTGGCGTCGGTTTGTTTCCCGCGTCTCCATCACAACGTCGAGATCGCCCGACCGACCGCACCGTGGTTCAGGAGACAGAAGCGTGTGCCTGAGCCTGTTCGTCGCACCGGAGGCCCGTGGAGAGAGCGCCGGACATGGACGTGCGCTTCTCGGACGTCCGTGAAACGACACCATTTCGGTCGCTAGTCTGCGGCCACATTGGACCAACGCATCGCTTCCCGCACCAAAAAGCGAGAGCCGAGTGAGCGCCACATAGTCCATCCCTATTCTTTTCTGCTGATCGTCCCTGAGCTAGCGTTGCGTGCTCCCCATTTCGTGAAAGTCAGGCCGGTCCCTTGGCGCCGCATCCACATTCTAAGGATAGACGCCGCTTGTGTACATACGCAGCCAACCTTACGCAACCTAACCTCGCTCCCACGCAACCCTTCCTGCAGGAAGTTATTTCAACGAGGCCGCCCGGACCGAGCCCTGGACGCAGGCCAAGGCGGACTGGCGGACTGTTCCACCGTGACGGGCCCCCTTTGCTCGGTCTTGGGCTCTATCCCAAAGACATCATTGGCTTCCCTTGGGCTTGTTCTTGAGCACGACGCCGGTCGCTCTTCCGTTCGGCGCGATGCCCCTCTTTGAGGTCTCTCTCCTGAACTTCGCGTGCCTTACTCGCGCTTCTCTCGCTATTCCGACGAATGCAGCATCCGATGCGCGAGCGGATGGGGCCGATTCCCTCGGGAGGGAAGCGATGGTCCCAGGACTGAAGAGAGGCCGGGGTCCCCCGGGGCTCACCTCCACATCCCGGCACGGATCACCACGTCGTAGGATTGACGCCTTACGTTGCCGGTCAACAGCAGAACATGGCGGCGCCACGAGTCTCAACGTCGTCCGAGAGGATCAGTGCTACATCCGCAGATGAGACTGCGTTTGCAGATTGCAGTCCGGACTCCAGCAGCGTTCCGCTCGCCGGCCGTGAAGATCTCAGTTGGTGATGGTTCATGAACGAAAATAGCAGACTCAATGTGACGATGTCAAGAGGATGAAGTCCTAAATGTGAAGTTGTCAAGGTTCGATGCTACAGCTTCCGTCTCATGATCGCAGGCCTCAGTGGAACCGCCTTCAAATTTCATGTGTGAACGGCACCCTTGGCAAGGCACATCGGGCCTCAACTTACCGAGTGAACGGTTCCGCAACCCCCACAGGATTCGGGGTGGATGCTGATGTCCGGCATCCCATTCCGATCCTTTCGTCGGCAATGGGGCCGTCTAAAGATTCCAAAATCCTGTCGGCGACGGTGCCACACCCGCCACCTGGGCTGCCGCATAAAGCCCTACCGGCAAGACTTGCTCGACACCGGCCCGGAAGCAGCCCATCCCCCGGCCCAGTTCGTTCCATGAGCGACGCGGCCATCCCAAGCGACGTGTGGAGCCCAGGCCATCCCGAGCCAAGGCCGTATTTGTGTTACTTAGCGTTCGTGGCCCGGGCCGAAAGTTTCGTATTCTACGGCTGAGAGGACGGCGCTGCCAGGCCGACCCATGGAGGAAGACCCCGATCCGGCAACTCATCGGTGTTGTCTCATGTGGTCGGATGGTTGTATATCCAATTTCCACTATTCCGCGGGCGCTGAATACGTGTGGACAGCCATCGGATTACTACTTTGTTTCAAGGCCTGCTAATTGACCCCGACCATGTCTATAATGATCTTCGTGTAGTTCGTCGCAGAGATCTAGTTGATGCCCACAAAAGTGTGACTGGCCACGTCTACGATGACACGTTCAGCAAAGCTTTGTTTGAATCGGCATCTACTGAAACCTTTTTGTTCGTCGTGATACTTGACAGCCTACATCTTTGGACGATTCGTGGAAAGCGGCTGAACGGCTTCTTCTCCATAAGTCAGTCGAATGGGATTTCAAACAATTTATTGGATTTCGCCCCTCGAAAAAGTATGGGGCCGTCACAATGCAACGCAAAATGGTTGCCTGGTGGTGGTCCTCGTCCTTCATGCACAACACAGTCGACGTCGGTCTTCGCGATGCCCTCATCAAGGCCACTTTTCCAAGGCTGCCATGAGCAAACGCAAGGGGTCAAACCCGCAGCAAGGGGGCCAGCGAGCGAAATTTGAAGGATATTTATTTGATCATGAAACGTTCCCGATCGCTTCTTCAAACGCAACACTTTCCAACTCGTGCCAACAGACCCTGGGTCAATCTCTTCATTGCATGTATGTTGGTCACACTGCTTGGGGTCGCTTCTTGTTGGTTCTGGACAGTCACAAAGGCAAAATACCGTATTATGATGTGGTGGTGTGCTGTCGGCACAAAGGCACCCTACTCGTAAGTTCGGATTCCCCGTCAGCACCACCGTCAGCAGCCTTTTCCGTTGGGCGACCCGTCCCATTTGCGGTGATGACAAACTCTCTCGTATTTTTAGAGCTTGCACCGCAAACCAGGCTGGGCTTATCTCAGATACTTCAGCTGAGCAGCCAAGTCCTCCGCAGGCGATCCTACAAAGTGCAGACTGCAAGAGCAAAGCCCCCGCCACCCAACAAACACCTCGAACCAACAACCCTGGCTCCAACAGCATGATAGCCGGCAGAACACCCACCCGCCCGCAAAGGATATTGTTTGCTCTTCGGTCTTGTTCCAAGGCCATTTATGAAATCATTCCACGTCAAGGTCTCACAATGGCACCCTTTAATCAAGCCAGCCCCCTCGTGATGATCTGTCTCAGTCCCCTCCACGCGGCTTGGGTGCAATCCCACACACACACTCTTATTCAATGAAAATGCAGCCTTGAATGGCAAACACTGTGAGACCAATTCCCAAACGCCCAAGAAATCCCGCCGCTGTGGTTTTGGGAGCTCATGCAATGCCCTTCATCTTACCGGATTCCGCAGCCCGCATACTCGAAGTCTTGGCCAACGCCAGTCTCTTGATGATGCCAAGTAGTGAGCTTGTGTCTCCACATGCTCGTCAAAAAGCCTACCCCCAAGAGCCCCCAAAAGGAGGCTGTGAACCCCCACAAGCGCAATATTGGCACATCCTTCGCCCTGCGGCAACAGCGACAGCCTTATCCGTCTGCCTGCACAGTCTGACGAGCTTTCTCTTGTCCTGGACCGAGTAACACCACCCCATTGAAGATCAAAGTCGCCGAACGATGCCCCCGGGCAAGCCAAGCTGATCGAGCTGGGGTGGCTTGGTCCGCATTCCAACCTGTGGGCCCTCTCTCAATTACGCTTATATACATCTCAGACGGGATGTCTTGACTAACAATCAAGTATGCGTGCCAGCTTTTCCCAAGTCAGGGTTTGAAATTGATCTCATATCTTTCTTCTTCTGCACACCACAAGAACCAAAGAAGGGGAACGCCTGCTTCCGATATACATCTATCGAGGACCACACTCATTTCACCATCGGCATGGCGCACAGCGGCGACTTGAGCTGTCCTAGAGGAGGAAAGTTCTACGTCTGCACCGGCAGCGCGAAAGAGTTTCTCGGCTGCTGTACTTCGAATCCATGCGCCAACGGCGGAGAATGCCCGGCTGACGACAGGAAGGTATCGTCCTTCAGTCTCGACGTCTACCCAAATATCCAGGAGCAAAGCTGTGACGATCCGAGACCCGCGAAAGAGATCTGGTGGACCTGCAAGAACGAACACACGAACACGTTCCCGTTCATCGGATGTTGCGCGACGAATCCATGCAACGAGACAGACGGGCTATGCCCGGTAGACAACCTCATCCCGGCCACACTGAGCAAAGACTCCAGTGCAAGAGCATTCTTCGTCGCCAGCGAGGATGCTTCACCAACCCCTTCAGCATCCGCGTCTGCGACTTCAACGCCGGATAGTGTGTCAGGAGGTGGTCTCGCGACGGGAGCCATCGTAGGTATCGCGATTGGAGCTGCCGTTGCTGTCGGCGTTATCATCGCCATCGTCTGGCGATGCGGCTGGCACGCTCGGAAGCGCAACGAAAGGCGCGAGCCGAACTGGGAGCCCGCTTCTCCCGGCCGTCATCCCGAGATGGGCTTCGCCTCATCGCCACACAGCCCTTCACCCTATGATCCATCACGCAGCCCCCGTCTGTATGACCCGGCCCGATGTAAGCCTCTCATCACCTTCTTCCAAAGGATCATGACTGACCACCCAAGCATCCTTCGCCACGACTAACGTCCAGGGATCCTACGCCTCGACCTCGCCGCCACACTCGCCGTACTACGGCTTGAAGCATGCCTCACCCGTGATCGATAACCAGCGCATGTCGACATATGCAGACAGCAACGTCAGCTCCATGACTGGCCATACCCCTCATGCAAGAAACATTAATCCTTCGTCTGTCGGCGTACCCGAGCTGCATACAGTCAGCGAGTTAGACGGCGTTGAGCATTACCCTCCGGTGGTACCACCACCGCCACCACAGGAGCCAAAGGCCCCTTTGGCAGAACTTGGGGATGGAACGCCTACGAGCAAGAAGTAATGATAATGTCGAATGTCGGATTGTTTGTTAGAAAAAGGCTAGAGTTCTCAAGAAGCGAGGTGTTCCGGTAATAATCACTATTTCTTTCCATCTTGGTACATGCGCGAGGTTGAGCCTATGGATCATCGTCATCCTCTAGCTTACATGTATATAACTGGCCGTGATGGTCATACATGCTGCATGTCATGGTCTGTTAAAAAAGGTCTTCGTGCTCACGTGTTCTTTTGCCAAGTCAGATTGCCGACTGGTTTGGCTAAACTTCCAAATTCCCGTGGCCAATCGCTTAGGTTGTATTCTATCGCGTTTCACAGCATATTCGACACATAAGATAGTTTGATAGTACTTCCGCATTATGGCAACTTGCACCCTCTGAATACATCATGCGCCAAGGGTCGATGGTCTGCTACATGATCATGCGGTACTTGCGATACTCGAATGACTGTAAGTGATGACTACCAAAATTGCGGGTTGCCTCCTTTCCAATACATCTCATCTAACCTAAAACCTTGAAATCCAAAAGACCGCACTGGGCTTTGACTACGCCTGATTTTGCCCGACTGATAGAATCTGTAGGATATTTCTACATAGAACCATCCCTCTTTTTGACTTGGTCCGTCTCAAAGGAGAGCCCAGCATCCTTTCTAATAACTCCATAAATCGCTGAAGCATCGACTTGTCGGTCTGCCGCGTCTGCATATTCCACCGCTTCTTCCAGCTGCTGCAGAATGAGAGAGAGAAGTTTAGGCTGTGTACCGCTCTGCAGAGCTTTCCTTCCAGCTGCGACTCCGTTAGTAGCAGGGGACCATGGCCGCTCGCCCCGAGGAGGCATGTAAGCACCGGACGTCAATCGGTTCGAAACCATCAACCCGACCGGACCAATCTGCTCTTGCAGCAAAGCCTCTACGGTTTTGGTTCCCAGCCCAGCCTTTTCACCAAGAGTATGGGCGACACCCACCACCTCTACCATACCCATTGACAAGGTGTTGCTATATAGTGAGGTCGACCAATAGTGGTCTTTCTCCAACAAAGACTTCTGCGTGTGAACGCCAGTGTACTTACGCGACAGCTTTCAAGTAGCTCGCTTGACGAACGTCATCGCCTCTCGGAACAATGCCCGTTACCATCACACCGGTGATGTAAGGACGTACGGCCTCAATGGAGCTCTCCTTTCCAGCCAAGATCCACAAAAGTTGTGCTTTCGCAGCTATAGGACTGGCTCCAACCACTGGGGCAGCGACGTAGTTTGCGCCTTTCTCCTGCAGTCTTGATTTGGCCGTCGCCGACGAGAAAGGTTGGATGGTCGAGGTGTCAACAACTATCTTATTGTTCAGTTGGCCAACCTCCAGAATCTTGTCCAGCACAGATTCAACCGCAGAATCATCAGCCAAGGACATGAATACAATGTCAGAGTTGGACACTAAGTCAGGGATGGTTGATGGAGTGCCCCCTAGCTGTTTTAGAGGGTCACCACGGGACTCGGTGCGATTATAGTAACGAAGACTTGGGCCCTGCTTCTTTGACAGATACTTCTGCAAATTGGAAGCCATATGCAGGCCCATGGATCCCAGTCCTGGCCTCTGTCAGTGCCTGTACCAAAATAAAATCTGCATGGCCATGAACGGTGGGCTTACCTATCCATCCCAGTCTGGGAGCAAGAGAAACCTGTGAGGAAGACATGTTGAGTGTGAAGAATGAAATGCTCCAGAATTGTCTTGGAATAGCTTTTGGAGGTAGCACATTGCTTTACATACTTGATCAACGATACAGTCCAGTTCACGTCTAGGTGGCGATCTGGAGAAACGGGATAACTCCGAGCACCGATCTTCCGTTAAGGTTTCGCCGACAACGGGATCGGAGATTACGGTTGCCTTCCGGCGGAGGTTGTACTTGAGTTGTAGATCCGATAGATGCGGATTCACTGAGAGTTTCGAGCACTTCATCAATGCTTTTCTACGCCATGATGCTGTGAAATTATGGCGGTCCATCGGCACAGGGCGCGAAGCTAGTTTGCCTCATTGTCGACCGAGACCAAGTCGGAACCTACATGAAGCTTTACACAACAGGGATGTCTTGACGGTCAATATAGTTCAAGTCAAATACCATCCGAACAGTTTTTGACGTCAGCCAACAGATATTATTCAACAAGGGCAAGTCTTCACAAGGATATGCCCTGATTTGTTGGTGGACGGGGGCCGACGGCGGCTAGAAGCAGTTGCTGAGGTGTGGGCAACGTCACACACCAAGCGAAAATAAAGTTCGAAGAATGCGAGACTCAATTAGAGAACTCCACTGTAGCTCAACCACTCAAGGAATCATGGGAATTGTAAGTCTTGAAGCGTCAATCGAAGATACAGCAGCCAGGCCGAGTATCTCAGTTTCGATCTTTCGCTCGTCGTCAACAATGCAAGCCCGCCTTGCTAGCTCAATCGGTAGAGCGTGAGACTCTTAATCTCAAGGTTGCGGGTTCGACCCCCGCGTGAGGCTCAAATCCTCACTGCGATTGACTTAACACAATCATTCGGGTTTATCTTTTTCATATTTTTGAAATCAATTCTGGCTTTTCTGCTTGCGGTTCCTGACGAACGTCAATTAGTGTCTCTGTTTTATGGTCTAACCCAGTGTCGGTCAGAATATGGGGTGGTATGAAATACATTCTTTGCTGCTATGTATCTTGAGTTTTACTGTATCTTGCCGGCCAGAGGAGGTTGCTCATGAGTTGGCAGGTTTTCAGAAAGAGCTAATGACCAGCTACTGGGTGATGCGTTTGTGTAGTGAGACAAAGTCCGTTGTGCGTTTGGCATTGGGTAAGTAGAACGCCTTTCTTTCATTATCTCCTTAAGCCTGCATATCACATACCGTTGTCTGTCTGAGTCTAAACACAATCTAGGTAGGATCGAAGTGCTCCCCATGAAAGACACTGATGTTTTCTGGAACGCAGTCGAAAAGGGCGCCAATCGAATGCAAGCGCCTCGATGTGTCGGTCTCTGTGTCACATCCAAAACAACCCATTTCATACGAAGCTTCCTTGAACATACGATTCGATTCTTCAGGTGCGACAGAGAGGTCGCGATACGACATATGAGAAGCGTCCGTGAACATACACAGATGAGCACATCGTCGCGGAGTCATCGAACGTAACCAACATAGTAGCGTGAGATATTCTCGTCAACATCATCCCCATCGTTTCCTCGAAGTCGCCCTGCTTCTTTAGAGCTACAACAATGTCTGAATCTCAGATGTCATGCGACGAATACGGCGCCAACCTGGCTTTCCTTCGTTTCGGAATCTTCTTTCTTTTTCTGTTCAGCGCACTACTTGGCGCTACGTTCGGGTCAATTGTAGGCGTCGCGTCCTTCAACCATGAACGCAAGATCCCTTTGGGGCTCTTCATTGCGATTGTGGTGGGAATGGCCTTCTTGGTCTTCTGCGGTGGAATGGCGCGGTGAATACACATATCCATGGACTTGCCTTCAAGACGCAATCCTCACGACTACCCTAACGGTATAACGCATGGCTCGACGGAGTGGCGCAAACATGTGCTTCATTCTAGGCCACATATGAAATCCAGCATTCGTTTTGGAGTCTGGTTGATTTGGATAATGCACAAGCTCGTTCGCATGGGAGATGTGATTTTCCACTCCCCGGTGGGCCCTCAGAAAGAAGATGATGTTGAGATGCTACGACCCGACGGCAATAGGCTAGCTCATTCAGAGCCACACGGTAACACAAGAAACGGCAACTCGCCGCCTGTTCCTGAGCCAGCTATCAAGCCAATTCCGAATCCAGCCCCTGTCCGAACCTCGACCCCAGCCTCTAAGCTGCAACTCGAGCCAACTCCAGTTTTTATCCCAAGGCCACTCACGAATATCGAGAAAGTTCGGAGAGCGCTTGAAGCTGCTGCCAGAGTTAATGCAACCTATGGGCGCCATGAGTGTCTTCGAAGAGGTCCTCATGACCCAGACGTCAGATTGGGGCAGAAGCGTCCGGTACTAGACAATTCTTCTGTTCGGAATGCGTCGAATCGTTGGTGGATCAGGAGCGAAGGCGAACCTGTCAGAGATACCACCTGGAGGTCCTCACATAGTTGCCAATGATCCTCACTCTGGTTAAACATGAGCAGTTGGACGACAGCTACATACTATATAAACTGCAAGATAAACCTGAAAGCTCATTGTCTTGTGGAACTTAAGTATGCTTCGTTCCACAGTTTCGGGAACTCGGGTTGGATGGGTTCGGTTGTGAGTGGCGACGCCAGTTTGTATTTCTTTACACATAACGAAGAGAAATTGGTGCTTGCTTTTAATGAGACTGTTTGCAATTTAGCTTGAAATACTTGAGAGTTAATACATCAATGTGAGCTCAGAAACCCCAACATAATGCCCAAGCCAACGTCCAATGACCCATGCTAAAGCCTAGGTTGTGTGACTGATATCCCACTCTGTGCACTACGGGAAGTTGGGCTGATGTATGTCTGCGCTGTGATATCGAAAAAGATTCTTTCATTGAAAGAAATTCAGATGGCAACCTTAAGCGCTTTGCTAGGCGTATGCTGATAGAGTCCCAGATGCAATGGAACCAAACAGACTCATGGAAGCAAACTCTTCGTCAAAAACCAACGTACGGGGCTCCGTCGGAAGGTTTCCACAATCGGCGATACAGGAGGAGCCCGCGACCAGGGGGCATGCTACCCTACGACAAAATGCGATTTTAATGACGACATGTTGTTCAAGCACGGAAAAGACTCGGACAGTTCCGTTCTCGGCTTGCCCTCAACTCTTCCCCGGAGATGAGATGACAGCCGTTGGCTGCGCAGCTGAGCACAGGGTTAGGAGGACGAGGCAGTCTTCCACGCACGAAGAAGGATATGCCGCGACACCATCTAACATTACCCCTTTTCTCAAAAGCAGGATTTGAGTATGCCGCCATCAGATCATCTGAACGCTCTGGCTAATCAAGCATAACTATTACCCGTACCAAGCTTCCATCACGCCGCAGCGTCGCAGCGCGTTAGAGCGAGCGCATCACTCCCTCCCTCCTCTCGCTGCCCTTGCATTGGTGCCGCGTAACCGCGTCGACATACCCTCAGCACTCGCTTATCCGACGCACGTCGACGAAAGCGGAACATATCGAAGAGCCAGAATCGTACGTGTGAAACATGCCAAATTTCCTCTGCCTTGATTTCTGCATCTGCCAACACTGCACTGGCTCCAAAAATTATCGAGATTGGTCGGACGAATTGCCGTGCAGGGCGATGAGAAGAGGGTGACAGGCCACGAGATCCTACTGGCGACAATCTCCTTGCGCAGTGGACCACCTCACAGAGCCCACCCTACAAGGTTACCTCCATGTTGACAACATGGGATTCTGTCCAGTGAAGTTTTTCTTTTCCATCAAAGAACTCCATCAATAAAGCTGGGTCGGGCGATGACATTGGCTAGAACTCGAGTAAATTGGAGCTGTGGGCTGTGATTAACGGCTAAAGAAAACCCGTGCCAACAGCCTCCGCGGGGTTCAGGGGCTAAAATGTAGCCAAAAAGAAAGCACAATTCAGTCACACTACCAACGGTCCAACAATTAGAAGCGACTTCTACCGAGATCACTCCCAGTTTGCCAACAGCCACTGAACGGTGACTAGTACGTCGTTGAGACGGTTGATCGTTTGGGTGTAACCGACCCGAGTGCGCCCACGTTGCAGTCGCAAGGCAGATCCAGGTCACCAACGGGTGCGACCTTGCGGTAATTTATCGTGGTCCTGACATGCTGCAGCGGGGAAGAGTTGCACCCAGACTCATAACTCCAGCACAACTTTCATATTGAGCACAAAATGGTGCTGAACAAGTCGCTGGCGGCGCCGTGCGCTACTACATGGGGGCTGAGATGAATGATCTGCCCGTCCGGCCCTAGCCCGAGAACTCAGAGCGTCGCAGTTCGCGGAGGATTTGGTTCTGTTCCTGGACCAGAAATAACAGCGCTGTTAAGAATTGCAACAGCTCAGAATCTTTCCCTGGTAACACGCTGCAGCTCCGTATATGTAGTCACGACAATTGATAGTTAGAAGGGAAGAAGGTGTATGCCCACGTATACATGTCATCTTACAACACCGAGTTATTCCCATCGCACAGGCATAGCCCACTTATGTGATCTCTGTGCATTCAGCTTTGACCGCGTTCCATTGCGAGAAAAAAACAGCAGTCTGCCCACGAACACGCCCCCACCAATATCTTCTCCATTATATGGGGGGCATGTCAAAGTCCCACAGGCGGCTCCCCGTTTCAATCGGACGATCCAGACGTCGGAGGTTCTTCTGCTTACAGACTGGCATGCCTCACCATCTTAAACGGCAATTCGATGTCCACAATGGCATTGGTCCTATGATGTCGTTGGTAACGGGATTCAATTTCAATTGGCGACTCGAGGCCCTGTCTCTCACTTTCTACCATGAGGCCGTCTGCGCCGCTCACTGATCGTCATTGCTAATCGTCGCAGTGCCTCCTCCCTCCGCCTCAGCCACGATCTTCGTCCTTACAACCTTGCCAGTCGTGTCCATGTAGATGTTGCTAAACGCCTCCAGGCCGGGGTATGGCGCATATACGTATTGCATCTCAAACTCCTTGACCTGCCCGTCAATCGAGATGGTCTTGTTGTGGCCGCTGAAGGTCATGTCGCGGCTGTAGTAT